GGTTTGAGCGTATAGCTCGCTGACTGTCGGGAATCCAAACGTTCTCGGTGCTAATGAGCCCCATTCGTGGAATTCATTCAAAGAAAATCCGAGAAACGCTGTGACTCTGGGCACACAACAATGGAAACATAATTCTCAGTGATGTCTTCCTCTATTTACATTTAATTTCTCAGCACAGATACAGAAGAGAGAGCACAAAGACGAGGCTAACTCTCATCCCGGACCGTTTCGTGTATAAGAATTAACCTGCATTGATTCTAATTCCTGGGCAAACACAGGCCACCTGCAGCTGTACAAATCACATTATTCAGACGGGCTTAACGGAGAAACAAGAGCATCTGCTTCTGGCCCACACGCCGCCGATCGACGCGCTCGCTGAACAGATTAGAGGAGGATATATTATCCCTACTCATCATAAATTACGCCGCAATTAAAACCGAAAGTGGAACTCTGGGCCCACGCTGTCTGTCTGAGGAGTTATTATTGATTTCTGGTGAAACCTGATCGTCAGGGTGGAACGCTCTGTGCCGGTAACTCGGTCGTTGTTCGATTCCTGTATACAGTAAACATGCCGAGAAGCTGGTGGGACGGAAACTTGGTGATCCAGTATGAAAGCTGGTTTTAGGAAGACGGGCAGGTGTTTTCCCTGAATTGCCTTTAATAGATTACGGTCACTGAACTCCTGCTTTTTATTTAGTTTGCATACCGAAAGCGAACACATTGATTGTCAGCGGTTGCGGTTTGGAAGAAGATCAACTGGTAGGAGTGAACCAGGTCAAATTGTGGTCTGTTGTGGGTGTTCTGCTTCCTTGTATGTGACACTGTGCCCCTAAACAGTGAAAGTTTGTTGTAATATTCATATCATGTTAAATATAAGTGCCGGAGCTAATATTAGAAACAGTTCAGTGTTGGAGTTTTTGGAGAATACACCTTGTAGACCCAACACCGGTGGATGAGAATGGATACTGGGTTCATGTATGTTTATTAAATAACATATGCTGGCTAAAGTAGCATCAGTTTTATGAAGGGACAACAAAATATAAAGAGATCATTTGCCCCACAAGGAAGGTTTACTTCAGGGTCTCGGACCGACTATCAAACCTCAGATGCTGATTCTACTCTGTGGACCAGTGGGGTTTGACCATCCAGTCCACATGTTTGTTGTAGTGGAAGCTTAAAACCGTGTCCGAACTTTGTGGAAGAAACTGTGGAGAACCGGGGCTACAAGCCATCCAGTTCTTATACAACCAAAGTGAGAGCCTTGTTCGTACCCAAGCATTTCTGGTTGTACCAAACCGCTGTGGTGAAAATGGAGCGGAGTAGGAAGTAAAAACTTGAAATTTACCAGTCAGTCTACACTCTATCTCAATTTAATGGTCATGACCTCTGGATGGGGACTAAAAGAATGAGACTACAGATACAATCAGTCGAATTTCATCCATAGGTTGGTTGGTCTTGGCCTTAAGGATAGAGGAAGCAGCTCTGACATCTTTTGTCCTGCACTGCATGGACCAACTAAACAATTAACATCCAATCATGCTCCTTGCAGTGTATGAAAATGCTGAGCAGGCCCAGTTCTTCTGATTTTGTGTCAAACTGGCGAAAAGTTGCTTAAAAAGAGGGTTCATGGTTGGGGCACGGATGGCAGGAGCTTCAGTTCCAAAGACTGGGAACCACCACTGAAGTGACATCTGCATTTACATGTTATGCTTGTGTATTAGTGTAAGAAAATAAAGAGGAGCAGCTCTTCTTCATCTGAGACCATCATTGCAACATGTGCTCAGATTTGCCGCCTTCAGAGGGAAGAGTCACCGAAACCCAATTGAAAGCTGTTATGAGTGTTTGCCTTTATCCTTTGATGAAACATGTCCATCCTGATGGGAGCGGTCTCTTCTGGGATGATAGCTACCCCGTCCAAAGAGCACGAGGGGTCACTGAGTGGGTTGATGAGTATGAAAATGATGTGAGTCATATGCTGTGACCTTTACAGTCACCAGATCTCGATGCAGTTGGACGCCTATGGGAGGCCGGTAATAGTGTTTGGAAGAATGGTGTTCAGTCTCTACAGAATAGTCAGAGAGACGTGGGGAACTGATGCCAAGGGAGTCTGTAGCTGTAAACAAGTGAGACACAGTGGAAAGTATCAGGAATCAAAAATTTGATCTGGTACAAGCAGCAGTTCACAGTCTTCTTATGTTATGATATGCAATGTCTACACTGTAAAAGAAAATAAAAGAAAATCATAATTAAAAAATAGTGAAAATCTGGTCGTAAGCGTGCCACCAAAAAAAGAAGAAAAAAAAGCTATAATAAATAGAATACTTCAACATTTTAAAAAAATTATAAAGAAATGTGAAAATAACAACAAATATCTGCAAAATAATTATATTTTTGTATCTGATTTAAATACAATAAACAGCGTAATTTTATGTTAACATACTACGAAAGACTAAAGTACTATTTCGATTAATAAAGAAATCAGATAGGGGCATCGGATGTTTCTGAGATTTTACTGGATATTTTCTGTAATTTACCGAGACAGGAAAAAAATATATCTACATATGCATATTTTTTTCTCTCAAATAATTGTAAACATCTTTAAAATAATATTTTAGTTTACCCAAATAACGCTAAATAGTCTAAATTTATAGTCGAACGTTAGAACAAATTACAATTTATGAAATTACACTGTTCGATGTGGATTTTATTTATAGTTTTGGTCCTTTTTTTTAACGGCTAATGTGTTAATTTATACTTTTTGTAATATTACAAGTTATTTGTACTTTAGCAAAACTGGGAAAATCTGTAAAATAACAGTAAATTGCTAAAAGAAATTAGTTATTTTTTACAGTGTATTTCTAGTATATAGTGAAAAAAGACGTGATCAACAATATCAGCACATCAGTTCTGAATACAATCGTGTAGACGTCTGTTGTATGCAGCAGCTTGTGTGATTATACATGATAAAGACGCTGGTTAGCTGATTAGCGAGCTGACAAAGTTACAGCATTAATGCAAATTTGTTCTAATGGAAAACAATCAATTCCCTGTCAAAATAAAAGCACAGAAACGAGGCCGAGTTACGGTAATTGGGCTGAAACGTGCCACTGTTCAGGTACGCTACGTCATATGAAAGCCCTTAATAGACAGTAATAGAAAATGGAGTAAGTTCTACACACAAAGGGCAGCAGCGATTCCATGTTCTGCTCCTGCGAGGCCAATTAAAAGTCTGCTGCTGAACATTAAATATTGATCCCTCCATCACTGTTCACATTAATTTTTGTCTTCAAGGGGAGTTTCTCACTCGTTTTTCCTGCCCTTTTACTCCGTCCGTCTGCTGCGTTACAGGATATCATAGGACACAATATCACCGCCTGAAGTTCTAATTAAAAGAGGAGCGAGACGAGCTGCAGACGAATGACGGTTCAGTGAGAGGAGACGGGATTCAGAGAGCGTGTGAAGGGGATCAGATGCTACAGAATGTGGCTCGTAGCAGCAAAAATTCAACACTTGAGAAAGCACAGAACATGTCCAGGCAACACAAAAATCACCCAAATCCCACGTGTTATGATCAACTAGTCAGTCCATCAGGTGTCACTGTACAGTACCGCCCCCATGTGGTCGTAACACATTAATACAGGATGTTTTTTTTAAAAGAAAAGAAAAAGAAGCTTCTTTTTTTTTTAACATTACAATTTATTTTCACACTGCATTTGATTTTTCAATCATTGGAAATTGTGCACAAGAGCATCAGCAGGAAGACCTATTTACACAAGAGCAAATTTACAGTCAAATTTTCAAAATAAGATACAACTAGAGGGATAATTGAGGTTGTGAGCAGCCTATCTGATTCAGTATGACTCCTTACATCTCATGTTGTTCAGCCAACGGGACTGAAAAGCAGTTTAAAAACGAATCAATTTCGGCCTAAGGAAATGAGGGGAGGAAACTCATTTAAATTAGCAAAAAAAAGTAGATTTTTCAGTGCAATTATTTTAGTCCCATTGACTTTTAGCATCGAGTTCTTCCTCCAACACACAAACCAGAGCAGCAAGTGTTCTCCAGATACACTTAAAGGATACAGTAGCTCATGATAAATTGTTTACCTGACCTTTTTTTTAAACAAAGGATAGTCCACATTTATCAGGTAGCGACTCCACAGTCTCAATACAGTCGAGGATTTGTTACAGGCACTGATAATACACCTCTGATTATGGAGAAGTCCATCCCACGAGTTCCGGCGACACGAAGATATCCGAGGCATTAGACGGAACGAGTGACGCAACAGCAAAAAAAAATCAAAGAAGAAATAAATAAATAGCATTTTTGGACACAGTTAAAGAGACTGAATGTTGTTCGCAGCAGTAAATGACAGACAAGTCGACATCATTTGGTTGGAACACACATTTCAGGACGCTTTCACAAAGTGTGCAACTCGTACTGTGTTGCATTAATTAGCAATTACAAGGTGCTTGATTCCATCAACACGAACGATTTGCACCGACATTATTCAGATTAGAAACCACCTCTCATTAAACCTTAAACTACACGCATGTAGGACCAGAACTTCCTCGCTGCCGGAGCTGAGCTCTTGTCTTAAGTGTCGTACAGCCGCCGAAGTTTTCAGAAGGTTGAATCCTGGAAAATGTTTGCGAGATGCAGGTCAGAGGAGCCAGATGGGAGCCGACAGGAAAGCGAAACCTTTCAGCGGCCAAAACTCCCACTTAAAGCCACAGATGCTTTGAGAAAAACCGTGTTTCAACCAGAGGATGTAAGAACCCAGCGGACGGCTGACAACGCATCACCGACAGAAAGGAAAACACTGTTTATCTCAGTCTGAAATATTGACACCGTCACGAGTCTGGGAAACACAGACACACCTGTGTTATCGCCTGTTTTCGTCTGTCTGTTCAGCTCAGGCTTTAACAAGATGATCTGTGCTGCCTTACAAAACCGAAAAGCAATAACAACACTAGCGAAAATCGAGTTCATGCCACAATTTGACTTTGTGACGCCTGTTTTACCGTCTATTACATTAATACCAATTAAGCAGGAACTGTGAGTCAGAGGCAAACTGCGCTGACTGTGTACTAGCTAGATAAAGCTAGCTAGCTCATTTACCGCCTGTTTCCGACAGTTAAATGACAATTTGATTTGTCTGTATCTAAGTAATTCTGTTTTCTTATCATCAATAAATAGGGCAGCAGCTACTTTTATCATCGTTGAGAAAAAAGCAATGACTAAACTCGTCCTGCTAGTGAGCTAATCAGGCTAACTAGCTTAGCAGTAAGTTCTATATTAGCCTTTGAAAGTGGTGAATTTACATGATTTGGGGTGATAGAGATACTGCTAATTTATTATAATGTAAATAAATGTATTCAATTAGAAATTCATTAATAAAAGAGTTTCATAATTTCTCTAAATTTCCCATGAATTGACCAATTAGCTTTAAACATTCAAGCCGGTTTCCCCAACTGTTTCCTAATAATAAAATAAGCTTTGATGATCCAGTATCTTAGTAATTTAGGTTTGTCACACAAAAATAAATAGGAAAGTAGCTACTTTTGTCATAACTGAGAAAAAAAGTTGTGGCTAAACTCGTCCTGCTAGCTAATTATCTAGGCTAACTAGCTTAGCTTGGCAGTAAAATCCCATATTAGCCTCTGGAACTAGGTGAATTTACATGATTTGAAATGGTTCAGCTACCTTAAATTTAATTTCATATATTTAAATGAATTAAATTATAGATTATTTATTAAAAGGGTCACAGATTTAAAGCTTGTTTTTCCCATTTGTTTCTGTAGTTAGCGCTTTCTGCTTTTGTAAGGCAGTACTTACAACACGAATACTGTTGTTCAGCCATGACAAACACATTTTCATTGGAACATACTGCTTTGGAAATAATTATTAGATAACCTGTTACTTTCTTTTGCAAAGTCTACATAACATTGATAATTTTGCATGGAATTTTATCATAGGAGCTCAGCCATTTCAGCATCTTCTAAAAGACATGAAAAAGTCTTATAAGAACTCAATATATTGCCATTATTATGTTGTATATCGATAAATTCAACACATAATACGCCTAAAAGAAGAGAACTGTGATATGACAAGAAGATATTTTCATCTTGGTGCTCAACAGTGAGGGAACCATTTGCTAACCAACTTGGAATCCGCAAAAAACAGCTTTCTATTACAACCTTAAAAACAAATCGCAGTTTGGCTCCACCAAGAACCGCAAAAGGAGGAGGCAGAAAATGGTGGTTTCAATGGTGTAGTAATTATTCCCAAAGCTGTAATATCGATAATGTGAAATTTAAAATGGAAAATGTCGGAGAATCCTGTCGAAGGGGAAACCGTCCGAGGCCTCTACGTCCATGTGGTGGGTTTGGCAGTAACAGCTGAATATTAAGATACGTAGTTTCAGTAGTCGTTTGGTCCTTGATAACTTGATTACCTGAAATGACACCGACGCCAAGAAAGACACAACACAGCACACGTCATGTGAACACGCTGGACAGACTCACAGTTATAGCATCTCCACGTCTGACTGCGGTCTTAGTTTTGATGAAGAGGCGCAAGGAAGCATAGCGTTCCATCAAAACCTGCTTTTGATTCTCAGCAGCAAAATCGGCATCCACGTTGTCTTGCGCTGCACCGAGCGGAGGAATGTTGAAGGAAATGATCCGTCACAGTCGTGAAAAGTGCTGTCCATCGCAGCTGTTCTGTGGCCCTCGTAGCTCTAATCGAGACTCGAAAGGCTCCACCAAGTTTCTCGTGATCCGTCTTGACCTAAAATATTTGTAACTGCATTCAGCTGGAAAGTCTGACAGCATCGAGTTAGATTTCCCTGAAACTGATCAAGTCAAGGATCAGTGTTTTTTAAGGTTAGATTTGGCCTGGGAGCCACGCTTTCATCGAGTTTAGACCATCGTTAGGTAAACTTCTCAAATGCTTCACGTTGATTGATTGAAGGCCAGATCAGGAATCAGTGAACCCCATCGTCCAGAGACCCTTTGGCTTCCCAAATCTTCACTGTGCGGTCGCTGTCGAAAACAGAAAAGAAAATTTAGCAACAGGTGATAACGATTAAGGCAAGAGTTCAGAATTACCCGTTAGTGTCTTACTCCGAGGCAGTGAACAGTTGGCTGCTGTTGGACGCCAGGCCGTTGATGGGACTGTCGTGGCCCTGGACTTCACCGAGGGGCGCTAGCGAGTCGGTGTGCCAGAGGCGAAGCAGCCCTCCCCTGCAGCCGCTGAGCAGCACCGAGGATCCCGGCACCACGCCCAGAGCGCTGACCCAGTCCGCCTGGGCGCTGACCGACTGTCGGGTGAAAACAGCAGCCAACAGTTTAATGCAAAGTTGGTTCTGCATCTCCAGTTTGTTTGTAGCAAATCTGACAGTCACTGTACCGGGTTTCAGCTCACCTGTAACAGCTGCTTACTGGCCAAGTCCCACTTCTTAATGTAGTGGTCTCTGGAGCTGCTGTAGAAAATGTCTCCGTGCACAGCTAGAGACTCCACGCCGTCCTGATGGGCCGGGTCGAACGTGTGGCCGGAGCCGATGCTGCCCTGAGCGCCTTCTGCCACCTCAAACATCTGGAGAAACAAGCGCATACAGTCGAGTCCAGCGACGCTATTTTTGTCATTTTGCTTCGATATACCACCTAAATGATATATTATATGTAGACTTATATAAACCAACTGAGTCACAGGCTCAGGAGTAACTGGACAAACCAAGGATTACATTTAATATTTGGATGCGAATCCTTAACACTCGTTGGCTACCTATAGACACCCCCAAGTGCTGACTGTTCTCCCTTGAGGCCTTTACTCCAGCTGCCTTTAGTTGTTTTTTGTTTGTGGGTCTTCATGAACTAAAAAGAAGCTCAGTTGGTGACTGAGAATCCAGTTTTTTGCTTCAAGAGGCTCCCGGTTTGCTTCCACGGCGCGGTTTGTTTCAATATCTATCTGGACTGTGGAGCCCAGTCCGATCAGTTCGGCAGAATTTGACTGAATCTGAGCAGAAACTGGAGCTGTATATACTTTAGAATTCATCCTGCTTCTTCCAGCAGCAGCAACATTTGCATCCTCACTACATACATGCCATGACACTGCCTCCACCATGTTTGGCAGATGATGTGGTCGGCTTTCGTTTCTTCTCTATACTTGCTTCCACGTTCATCTCGAGGTACACCCTTTGTATTCACATCCATGAAGAACTCAAGCAGATAAACAGACAAATTTGTAAAGATAGAAGGAAAAGCACACTGACCAAACTTCACTTCATTCATTCAGCGTATAGAATCAACTCCAGATCTTTCGTCTCCTTATATTTGTCATGAAATAATGAGGAAACAGGCCACCTGGGAATGAAACTGCCCATTCGTCAGCTGTCCAATTACTTGAGCTGTGATTCCTAAAACCCAACTCCAACCTCTTCAATTTAAGCTAAAAACATTGATTGCTTGATTTCAGATCGAATGTGTTGGAGGTAAAATCACCAAATTCTTCCAACTAACCCAAAACTTTTGGACTTGATCGATATCCATGAAACATCCGATTCGTTTTGCTAAATATCTACGTATTCATCTACAGTTGTGTGTTCAGTTTCCTACTTTGATATGATGATCTTTGGAGCCGGTGAGCACGACGTCTTGTCCGTTACCCAACTTCTCAACGGTCAGACACGTGACAGGTCCCACGTGGCCGGTCAGCTTCCCCGTAGACACAAATCTAAAGAACGGACAGTCCAGTTATTTCACTTACTCTAAAGAATATTTCTGTTTCGGCTCGTAAAAAACTAAAATCCGTACTTGCGGAGGTCCCACATGCGCACAGCGTTGCCGGCGGCGGCGTAAAGGAAAGAGCCGGACGGGTTGAGGGCGATGTGGTTGATCTGACTCTCTCCTGGTGGGATGGTTAAACTTCTGACAGACGAACACGTGTCTCCTGAACCCACTTGGCCCGAAGACCTGAAATCCACAGAACACGAGTAAGAGATCCTCATTGAGGCTTTAAACTTAACGTTGGATGGAGGGATGTTTGCACCCACGTGAGCGTGCGGATGCACTTTGCAGAATCTCGTATGTCCCAGACTTTGATGTAAGCGGTGGAAACGGTGAAGACGAGGCTGGACGTGTATCTAAAGTAAAACAACAAAAACAAGGGCAAGATAATGAATTAAAAGCATATATAGAAATACTGATATTACAGGTAAACACTGTGCAAGTTGTACCTGACTGAGACGACACTGCTGGGATGATCTGCTAAAGACATGATCTCCTGACCCGTCACCAAGTTCCAAACTTTGCATGTTCGGTCTGAGAATACACAAATATAGAAGTACAGATTAGATTTTTTTTAAAAAGAAAGAAAGGAAACTCACAGTAAAGAGTTATTTCAGAGAAAACAAACCCTTCGAGCCGGTAAAGAGCAGGTCATCGGTGGCGTCCACGCAGAGGACAGGCTTGGTGTGGCCCTCGGCTATGTAGACACACTGGAGTTTGGCCCCTCGGCTGTTTTTAGGGGCCGTCACAGGGTTGATCACGCCTCTGAAATACACACAGGAATAGCATTTCATGATTATTTGGCATTTTTTAACAGATTTACCAACCAGTTCTAGGTAGGTACACCCCCTCTGCAATAACTCTTAAGTGTCAAATGCTTCAAGAATGACCCACCTCTTAATATTTGCTTTATTTTTAAGCTGAAGAATATATTTAGTCTGTATTTTTATCTGAATCATCGAAAAACAAACCCTTTAGAAAGATGTTGTATACAGTACTGTAGCTGATGTAACAGATAAAACGATATTGTACATATATGAGGAGGAGGAGTAACCCCTACATCTTAAAAAAAAAAGTTAGTATTTCGTAAAGACGACTGAAGGATTACCTGTGGCCTTCAAATACAGGTGATTCATCCAACCTGAGGGGAAAAAAAGCAAACTGATATCAACCATAATGATTTTATATCGTTGCTCAAAAACATCTGGAAAGATAGGATGAAACTCAGAAGTTGATTAACAAGATGAAGCCGTGCTAACAGTTCTGTGGTTCTATTTTTTTTTTACAGTGGTATTTATCATTATGCTGACAGGCTCACAAACACGATGCTTTGCAGGTATAAACGATCATATTTGCCTTCATTTGCAGATGAAAATGAGCTTCATGATGAATCTGGTAGAAAACATTACTTTTAATATTGTACACGGTCCTCTGGACATGAAATACATAGAATTAAATTAAACTTAATTGCGCATGTAAGCATGCTAATGTTTGCTAATTAGCAGCATATGCACAGTAAAGCCGAGGCTGACGGGAAGGTTAGTAGCTTTCCCGTGAAATTTTTACGGCAATCCGTTTAACAATGAGAGAGGCAGCAAGCTGTAATTAAAAACACGACTGTCGTGCTGATTACCCATAAACCCCCTTAAAGCGACAGCAGGTTGGAAAAATTCACAGCCAGCAAAAACAGAATAAAAAAAGAGTTGGATTTACAATCTTTAGGTGGTCATTGAGCTACTCATCTGTGATGTGATGATCTGTTGGAAAAAAATATTGAAATCTAAGCTGAAGAACTTCATATTACACGTAAATAATTAATTCCATGTATTTATTTGAAAATTGTGAGAAAATAAACAGTTTGTTCACACCAGATTCTTCAAAATACAAAAAATTCTGCACATCTTGATGGAACCGTGAAGCTATGAGTGACTCAGCTGTGACCAACAGTCACATGACAAAAATTCAGGGACTTTTCAGCTGAAGTGGGTTGAACTGCAGGCAGTGTTTACACAAAGCAGGTAGGAGACGAGTATGGAAGCAAATTAAAAAATCTACAGCATTAAGACCCACTATTCTATATATAACTTAGATTTAGATTTGATTTGATTTGATTTGAATTTTGAATGCTGATGTTTTATTGCTGATTTTGTGGTGGTGGTGTGTTGTTTTTTGGTGTATCAATTAATAAAGTTTTATTCTAATTCTAATTCTATTCTTTACAGTAATCGTAACACGTAAATGTTGGAATGTGTTGATTCCTGCTTCTTTCATTTTTTTTTTAGCTCAGTGATCCAAAAAAAAAGTTATTTCTGTTCTTTTTCATCATTGATTCATGCAACTGTAACTGTGTGATTCTGCACAAGAGACGTTTCTGACTTCTCTCTACTTCTATCCATTGGTTGCTTTAGTTCCACAGAGGTGAAGGACTTTATATTGCAGTGAAAGTTGAGCCCACAGTGAGGACAACGAACACAAAAACCTCCAGAAACTGCTTGGAGTTGATGCTATTTCTAGCTTACAGTGATTTGTAGTCGCTGGCTTTCGTCTTGGTTTCCGCTGTGCTGACGTGAGGTGCAGGAGCCGGGATGTGCGACGCCGGTCCTTTGTCTTGCATCCTCCTACGGTTGAGCGGCGAGCGCTCAGGTTGCCTCCCTGTAGGCGACCTGCATCCAGAACTACAGACATCACAAACTGTTATGTCTGAATATGAACGCAGGAGAACCAGCGCCCCACCAAAACATTTCAGACCACAACTTGAGATGTATTTTATTTTTCCACCGCTCCTCTTAACACTTACATGCCAGCTGGCCTGGCAGACAGGGCAGATGGGGAAACAGTTTGCTCTCGGTCGGGGGTTTGACCGAGCGCCTGACCCTGCAAGTCTGCCAGCGCTTCCACTCGCTCGGCGAGGGGCAGCAGAGGGGCCGAGAAGTCTCCGGTGGGCGATTCGCAGGACAAATCCCCACTGCTGGCGTACAGCAGCTCCATCTGGGTGGTGGTCCGCCTTCGAGCCTGAGGGATCGGAGCGGCTTGGCTCAGAAAACAGCTGATTCACAAGTCGGTGCACCAGTTCGCTGCTTTAAATTCATCTACTGTGGAACTCTTGTGGTTTTAGTCTAAACTTAGTAAAACAGGATGTAAACAATGAAATAAGTATCAAAATAGGATGATCAGATATTGGACCACTCAGACTACTTCCTTCTTACCTTTCTTGGTCTGGATTCACCACATAGCTTCATTAAATCCGACGCCAGGGTGCTGAAACAAAGGATTTTCAGAGTTAGCGTGCTGATGTTGAGCAGCTACAATGTTTAGTTTAGTTTATTAGCATGTTTCGCACTAATAAGTAAAGCTATGAATAGAAATATTGGACCACAGTGGAGTCACGCTGTTGCAAAGGACGATTAAAAAAACTTAGCAAGCGATCATCTCCCTCCAACTGTCCACCGTGATGACATTATTCATTTACTGAGCTACTGGATTACTGCAACACCCTTGTGAGACCCTTGAGTTCACCTGTGCACATATATTAGTTCTAGTTTATATTATTATTAAGCCTAAATCCATCACAGTAAAAATAGTTTGGAGCATCCATCATATGCTTGGATCTGCATTAAAAAATGTAAATCATGTCTCCTTTCACTTTGTAAAAAGCTAAAAAAAACATATGGAAAATAAGCTGTAAAAGGTGACTAATCCTCTTTTTCTTTTCACTTTTTGGCCTTTTTTTGGTCATAAATCCCACAAAATATTGACAACTCGGTACAAAAGTCAGCTCTGCAAAAACTGTGCAGCTCTGTTTCAGATGTTTCCTCTTCTAGTCTAGCCAACGCTGGTTAATGGTCATTTGATTGTATATTTACAGGGTTTTTACCGCAACGAGCGGTTTTTCACAGTTAAAACAATCAGATGTTGACAAGAAACTTTGGAAACTCTGAATAAGTTTTATTTTTCTACATAAATTTCTGTAGGAAGGAGGGGAGTTCATCCTAAAGCCGGTCACATCCAAGTTACTCAGTCCCTTATCGTGATGAAAACAAACCAGACGCTGGCCAATAATTTAGTAAATGTACTGTATTTGTTCTCTTCTCACCTAGTTTTGCATTTACAGGTGTCGTGCTGCCTTGAATAAAGCTGCACAGTTAATCCTAACTTCAATTCATATTCACACATGATGATTAAATATGACTGCAGTTACTGTTCTAGCAGAATCTAAGCAGGATTTCTGAGTTGTGTTTGTCTGTCATTGGAGCATTTTTGCTTTTGGAGATGCCAATTATGATTGCTGTAAACTATTTAATGTATTTATTTACATGCAGTTGTAAAAGTAGTTGCAAGCAGACTGTACGTGTGGTTTTTCTTTGCACTGTGATGCAAAGAAAAAGGAGAGGATGTTGTTTGTGGACCTCTATTCACACACTTCACAGGGGAAGGAGGAGGATCTGGTTTGTAAAAGATCCACACTTGAGAACTTCTACCTCTGTCAATTTAACTGTTTGAGTAGATTGGTGTTTCCTAACTGAAGGTACAGATAAATTAGTGCTTTTAAAGAACAAAACATGACATAAAATCCTGATTTATCAACAGTTTAAACACAAGAAGAGCTGCTGAACTGTCTCTACCTTCCCTCTGTGGCCGGACTGGGCGTCGACTCGTCGCTGCTGCTGTCGTCTCCGTTTTCTGCACCAAAACACACACAAACACACGAGTAAACACCTTCACATTAAAAATAAAAGTTATTCAATCATTGTTGCAAAGCTAAAGTGCGTTTTCTTTGATTTTCTGCTTTTGCATGACGTCCGTTCAGAAACGTCAGAGCAGTTAGCTTCACAACAGGAGCCACTGTGGGTTTTAGACAAAAGGGAAACGATAATAACGGCAGAATGGAGAAAGCATGAACGACACGAGACACAAAACACAGAGATGCAGACACACGTGATCAGCTTTAGTTTTTAGTGGCCGCCGTCCTGATGGAGCGGGACTGGACGCTAGCAGGTGGGGCGACACGTCATGCACGTCGTGTTACGTCAACGAGGTTAGTTTGTATAAGGACTGAGATGCACACCACAAGACTCCTTGTTTTCTATTATTTGTCTTGATACAATGGATCGTGTCTTTATGTGCTCTAGAACAAGAGATGATGCTTTAACCCTCGGAACCCCAAAACAAGTCGACAGGTTTAAAACGCATGTTGTCTTCACAAAAACACCAAAATTACAACATTCATAAGTGCAAGGAAGCGTAAAAACAGAGAGAACTAGTCAGTTTTTTAATTTTCCAGGGGCAAAGTGCTGTTCGTTCCTGAAAATGATGTAAATCTAAGCATAAAATTACAATATTTCCTCATAATCACTTTATTCTACGTGTCTACATTTGAAAAAAAATGCCAAAAATAAACCATTGGTTCTAACAAGATTGTGTCAAAACTAAAAAATTCTACACTCCAAGGCACAACAAGAAAGAGTTTAGTGACTCAGCTGTGAACAAAAGTCAAGAAACTAAAATTCAGAGACTTTTTGGATAAACTCAGATGAACTGCAGGCTGAGCTTGCGAAAGGAAGATATGGAAAGTATGAAAACAAATTAAAAATAATCTGTAAATAAAAATGTTTATAGTCAAATAACTAAAAAAAATATGAAGAGTTACAATGTTTTTCTAATATTGGTAGCAGTTGTGGGCACTTGGGAAAATGCTGTATATATTGATTTTTGTCATATTTTTTTAGGATAAATGAACAAATAAATGATTTTTTAAATTTTGTTTTGTACGATTTATGGCATTATAACTGTATCAAACTAAAGAAAATACATTTTGAGTTCTCTCTACGTCTAGACATGGTTGTCTTGTTTCCACAGAGGTGCAGGACTTTATGTTGTGGTGAAAAATGAGCTCACAGTGAGTAAAAATGTGACAGGAGCAAAAAAAGTGACCATAAACTGCTTGGGGTTCAGAGGGTTAATAGTGGGAAAGAATAAAAAAAATAATAATAACACTGCATTGCTGAGAATAGTAGATGTAATTTGTACATACATACGTATAATTTGCATATTTATACATTTAAGAATTGTAGAACAACATACAGTTTATATGCATTAAACACTGTGTTTAGCACTTTTATTCTGTAAAAAAAAGCTAATTGCTATTTGGTGTCGTTATATTCTTGAGAGTAAAATGCATTTATAATTGGTAGTAAATTCGATGGAAATCATGTAGTGTGCATGCGCCTTGCTCTTTCAAACACAGTGACACTGCTACGCATCTGTTTGTTTGTTTTTTTACTCACCTGGCGACAGGTAACCTAACTCTGAATTCACACCAACACAACAGAGAAAACAAACAGAAATCAAATCAAAATCAAACCCACAAGATGAGAAAACGGCTGCTTTTTATTTTGACAGCTCAAATTTAAGGGACTTTAGTGAAAATCTGATTTGTCTTTTCTGGTAACTGACACCTCCAGATTCCTGTGAAATAAAAAGCAGCCACACGGTTAAAGAAAAGATGATTGACAGGTGATTGTGCTGGACATGCTCGGGCGGATCCGGGCTTCTGTTGGCCTTCCCCACCTTGCAGCGCGCTGCCCAGCAGGGCGTCCAGCTCCGGGTTGATCTCGGCCTTCTCCTTCAGCATGTGGAAGAGCAGCTGGTTCTGGGTGGCGCTGTTGATCTCCGTCTGCTTCAGCCGTCCCTCCATCACCTTCAGCTGCGAGTCCTTCTGAGCCGCCTGCAGGCCCTGATCGTTCCCCACGAAGCAGAACCAGACAAACACAATCAGCGTTTAGTGGTTTTTTTAACTTCGGTGCTACGTTCTAATTACTCGCTGCTTGTCGTCTTGTTCTTTTTGCCGCTCTGCTGGAGGCGTTTCCTCGCCGGACCAATTAGGTTTCACCAAATCTAATCTCGTCTAATCGAATAGAAACTTAATTTAATCAAGTTGCACAATTTAAAGTCTCGGTGAATTCAATTTGATGAGCAAACCGCGGCTATGAAGAAAGAAGAAGTCGCCACAAACAACAACTATAATGCACCAGCACTCGCAACGAAATCAGGATTTCTGGGTGTCACAGCTCATAAACATTATTTTTTTGTATTACTTTAATAAAAAGTTTCTCCCAGTAGACCGCACAATGAAAAACATATATCCCTTTAGATTTAATTT